AAATGGCAGGAAGTTTTAGGATTGAAAAGTTCGCAAAGTTGGATATGTTGCAATTTTTGTTGTAAGTGTTTGAAGCCAAGAAAGTAGAACGCTACTCTTCTCAGAGTAGTTACGAAATGAAGACTTCTTTTTAACTCACTGTTTCGGGTAGTTTAAGAACGGAGAACGCATCACTCAGGTTCTCCTTGTTTAATGCTATTTCATCATGTACCAACTCTGGCTCCCTGTAATGACTGCACTTTGAGAATTACGTTGCATAGGACGGCCATTATCAGTAGTGGTTGCAGCAAAACTAACTCTTCTAAAATCTTTGTTCCCATAATTTCTGTTTGACGCTTTTGATGATTCTGCGGAGGAAGAATTTCACGATCAACTTCATTTGGCACCTCATTAGACGGTAATTCTATCGGATCTCTGCAATGTGGGTTACAATTACTCTAATTCGGATTGGCTAGAGCACTGAAAGCTTACCTTTGCACCATTTTCGTACCCATAACTCGCACTCGATTTATGAGATTTTCCGCCCGCACATTGTCAATAAGCAGCGGGGCTGTCTCAATTGTTGCCGGCAGTTCGGTAGAAGTCTAGATAAGTTCCTTGATAAAACATACAACATCTCAATATTTGCCGTCCAGAAGAATCTGGCTTTTAAAAGAATACAATGTAACACAAGTAGGGAAAGGGTTTTAAAGAAATCACTCGCTGAAAGTATGAGAATGCAACACAGTTGCACATACACTCTTAATTTATAGAATAAGCTTAAAATCTAAGTTTTATATTTCTAATACCTTACTAGCAGAAGATGAAGTACCTCATCTATCTCTTCTTCACCACTACTTTCTGTTTCTTCACTGTCCGCTTGGCTGTCTAGAGACGATGTCTTCTCTTCATCAGTACGTTCGAGGGGTAAGCTAATATCTTCAATCTCATCGATAGGAGGCACTGTCCAATCAGGTTGTGCCATTGTAGGGATGATTGTCACATCTATCGACTCTTGAAGAGGTTTCTGCCATGAAAACTCTGAATCTGTTGTGACAAGAGGAGGAGCCGAAGTTGTAGCTCTAGTCGTTTGAGTGGTAGTGCTTATAGTGGTGATAAAGTTGTCCTCTATAGGCAAAGCCACTGTGGAGAACGATGGACCATATTCCTCAAAGGGTATATTGTTTAGAAAATCATTCATGCGAACACCCAATTGGAGACACTGGCTAATAAAAACATTAATCAATAAGAAGAATAAGATTTAATTAATGAGAAAAGATGGTAGGCTCTTGCCTAAAAACTGCATATC